TGGAGGAGCCCAAACACTTGGGCCGTCTTCCACTGCTGTCCCAGGCAGTTAGTGTGGAGCTGGACTGGAAGTGGTACAGCTGGGACTTGAACCAGCGCCCATATGAGATGTGGTGCCGCAGGTAGAGGCTTAACCTACTACTCCACAGCCCCAACCCCTGCACTATTAAGAGATCAGTTTCAGGGGTAGGTGTGGTGGTTCAGCAGGTTAAACCACCACTTGTGATGCCTGCTTCCCAGGTTGGAGTGTCTGGGATTGAATTCTGCCTTTGCTTCTGGTCCAGCTTCCTGCTAATGCACATCCTGGGAGGCAGCAGGTGATGGCTTAAGTAATTGGGTCTCTGCCTCCCACATGGGAGACCCAGATGGGCATTTGGGGAATGAACTAGCCAGTGGAAGATCCCTCTCCCTCCCCCTCTCCCTCCCCCTCTCCCTCCCCCTCCCCCTCCCCCTCCCCTCCCCCTTCCTCCCCCTCACTCGATTCTACTCTGCCTTTCAAATAAAAATAATTTTTAAAAATCAGCATAAAATAATTTTCAGAAAAATTAACACAGCTGTCATACAAATGAACTGTTTCTACCCATGGAACATTCCTAACACTAAATGTGTGGAGTTTTTTTTTTTTCACTCTAACGAGTAATTCTCCAACTCTCTAGAGCATCAGCTGAATGTGATTCAATTCTGGCACTAACTACCTGGAGTTAGCATCAGATGCAGCAGGATAAAGGCTCAGTCCTGCAAGACTGCGCCTGCTTCACATGCCATTCACAGTCCCAGGCTTCCTGCACTTCTGACCAGCTGGCTGTGAATCAGAAGTCCCCACAACTCCCTCTTTGGCTGATGGTTTGCTACAACAGCTCACAGACCTCAGGGAAGCACTACTTATGTTTACTGATTGAGCATAAAGGAATACAAATCATATCATAAGGAATACATATCATAAGGAATACAAATGAACAGCCTCGCCCCCTGAGGAGGTCCCTAGGGCAAGGTCTAGAAGTATCCCCAGCCCAGGAGCTTCTGTCCTGTGGGGAGCAACTCGGACTAGACTAAGTTACTGGAATTAAGACTTATTCTATGCATCTGCTCTCCCACAATATGGCGCTGGGAGAGAAGAAAACAGCTTCTACACAGCTGCCTCCAGTTCAGCCAATAAACTGTAGGACTTGCTCCTGATTGGAGGAGAGCAGCGTACTCGGCGTGTGGGCAGCCGAGTTAGGATTGGCGGAGGAGGACTATAAAGGAGGAGAGAGACGGCATGCACCAGGAACATCTAGGAGGAACATCTAAAGGGAACATCTGAAGGAACACCTGTGCAGCCCCCGAGAGAGCCAGCCGGCGGTGTGCCGCTCCCCTGTGGAAGTGGGGAATGTGGCAGGGGGAACCGCCCTTCCACGGAGGTGGAAGGGACAGTAGCCAACCCGGGAAGAACCAGCAGCAAACCCGGGGAGGGCCAAGCAGACAAAAGAACAGCGCAGGGTCCTGTGTCGTTCCTCCACGAAGACGGGGAGCGACATAATGGTGCCGTGACTCGGATATGAAGCCTAGGCAGGGCTTAGTGTCGTTCCTCCATGAAGAGGGGGAGCGACATGTCCTGTTTAATTATGGTGTGCAGTTCCTGGTATATGGATGCATTTTCTGAACCTTGTCATTTAGAGGCTTTCATGTGGGTTTCATCATATGGGCATGAGAGAGTATTAACTCACTCTCTAGAGGAACTGGAAGTTTGAGGCTTCTGATCAAGGCTTTTCTTTGTTAACAACCAGCCTGCATCCTAAGGCCAAGATCCCACCAACAGCTGCCTCATTAGAGCAGAAGAGGCTCCTGGAACCCAGGAAATGACAAAGCCAGGAGCCAGGCACAAAGATCAAATACATGTTTCCTATTATTTAAGAAGGAGCCAGACAGATGTTAAATATATGTGGTTAAAAGGAAAAATTGAAACAGCACAAATTTATATGGCAACAGGAATGTTAATGGAGCAAATAAAAAATCCTACTACACTCAAGGGGAAATGTCAAATCACTGCCAGATTGAAGAGAATTTGCATACCTTTCAGTTACCTACTTTCACAAATAGTTGCAAAAAGAGTACAAGCTAATGAACAGGACTAGGATCTGACAGCCTGGAGAGGTGCATGGTATCGTGTGTGCACTATATTCCACAGAAGCATTTTTTTCTGCAGGACCCAGAACCCAGCTGACTCTCCACCGGCACATTTCGTTTCTCTTTTGTTTCTGGTACATGGAGATACTTAAAATCAACTCTCAGTATCCAAGGGGTCCACATCCAGCTTTAACCAATTGTGGACAAGGAACAGTTTTTAAAAATTGTGTCTTGACTGAACATGTTCAGACTTTATTTATAAAGCATTTACATTGTATTAGGATTCATACCTAATCTAGAGATGATTCAAAGTATACAGGAGGATGTGTAGGTTAGATGCCAATAACATTCCATTTATAAAAGGGATTAGAGCATTTCTCAGATTTTGGTGTCTGCAAGGGCTCCTAGAACCACTCCCCTCAGAATCCTAATGGATAATAGTATGCTGTTTTTTAATACAGAGTAGAGGAGGCCCTTAAGTATGAATTTAAACCACCATCTTGAATGGAACTTGTGCCTTCTGTAAATAGTAATATGTTCAAGATATGACATAGCTATAAGCTCAACTTTAATTTGCCCCAATGGGATTATTATACATTTCTCTGCTAACACCTCTATTAGAGACCAGCTCTCCAAAGGGTTTATTCAGGAATAGCAAGATTGTAATCTAGGATATATGAGCTATAGCAGACCATAGATACATCCAAGGAGTTTCAGACAAAGGGGATGCTTTTGAGACAAAAAAGGAGAAATTGACATAAGCCATTTTGAAACAAAGATCACTGATTACAGGGGCCTGGGGCAGGAGTTAGCTTTAATTCGTTGGTGGAGACAGCCATTGCAGGTGTCCACGTGCAAGGGGCCTATCTGTAATGGTGGCTTTGAGGACTTTCTTGCACAGTTCACAGTTCCCATCTTAGGCGTATGTGTGTGTGAGAGCCTGCCTTCACCACTTCCCTGCCCAGCTCTACTGTGTTTGGATTTGACAAAGGTGACTATTTTTGTTCTGACAAGTTTCACACCTGACTCCTCTTCCACTTGGAAGTTCAAGCAGATCTCTCCCATACTGATGATGACTTTCCCCACTCCTGTCTTTTTCTAACCATAGCTCTGGCTCCCCTCTGCACTGCCAAACTTGTCCTCTTCCCCCCAACCCCCCTCACTTCTTCCTGAACCCTGTGCCTGAAAAAGATGACAGTTGCCTGTAGATGTATTTAGAGGCTAGGATTTTGCTTGTGTTCTTTCACCACCACCCCCTCCCCAGGGAGATTTCAAGGACAAAATTATACTGCAGCTGGATCTTGAGGGAATGACAGGATTTTGTTAGGCAGAAGTGGACAAGGAAAGACACTTAATGATAAGTCAGTGACAGGTAGACCCTGCAGTACAGCAAAATAGGAGAAAAATCTGGGACCAAGGTTGTGGCTTGCATCCCATATTGGAGTGCCAGTTTGACTCCCAGCTACTGTTATTCCAATCCAGCTTCCTACTAATGTGCCTGGAAAGCAGCAGATGATGCCCCAAGTGCTTAGGCCCCTACCACCCATGTGGAAGGCCCTGAATGGGACTAGAACCCGGTGTGCCTGCACACTAATAGCAGCAGTTACCTTTGGGGGTAAGGGGTGGGCTGGTAGAGAAGTTGTTATGGCAAAAAGGCAGCTGAGAAATTATTATTACCTCGGTTCTTTGTCTCATGTGGAAGAATTTCAAAGCAGACAAGCAGAGATTTTAAAATATTTATTAGAGTCAAAGACCTGTAGCCAGAGCGGCATGGAGGGGGGCTTCCAAAAGAGGGAAAAAACCCAAAGGGCCCCGTAGCACTGGGGTTTTTAAGTACAATTTCGTTGGAAAAAATACTTGTCAGATTGGCATTTAGTTACCAGGCAGGGACAAAACCCATCAAAAGACCTGATTTACAATTCTCCATCCTGTCTGGCCTGTTCATGATAAAACAAAAACCATCCAGAAGGGCTGTGGGATGGGTAACTTGTTTTCACATTAAGCGGTGGTGCTAATTCTCTAGCATTAAGTTCAAATTCCAAATGCCTGCGAATGAATTATTCAGTGTCCTTGTTTCTACTACTGTAATATCTTTGTTCACACAGTGCATGATGGTGCCTTTGGGTCTTCATTACTTACCAATCAATACATCTGTAAACACAAGCGCCAATGCAAGCCCTAAAAATGTGTTTCATAATAAAGTGGGCCAGATATAGACTCATCAGGACTGCCCGGTGGAGTGTTCTGTGATGATGGAAATCCTCTATTTCTGTGCTAATAGGGTGACCACTAGACTTACAGACTGCGGAACACCTGAAACGTGGCAAAGGTTACTAAGGAACCTAAGTTTTTGTTTTGTAATGTAAATTTAAGTAGCCCCAGGGTACAATATTGGACAGCCTGGATCTGGGGCAATGTTTATCAAACCCTCATGTGCATGGGGATGCACTTGGGGACCTTGTTTAAATGCAGCTAGTCCAGTAAGTCTGCAGTGCCCCTGAGACTGCATTTCCAGTCAGCTTGGAGCTGACTGGATGCCGCTGGTCTGGGGGCCTCCTTTGGGACACAGTATCTAGAACATGTGTGCCTTGTATCTATTTGCTTAAATGATTGCCTGGAGGGAAAAGCAAACTTTAAAATTCTCACAGAACTCTAGGATTTCTAGGGGTCCTCCCACCCCCGCCTGAGCCATCCTGTCCCCACAGGTTACAGCCCTGCACAGAGAGCAACAAGCTTGCAGGCGGCCTGACAGGCAGATGTAGATGTGCCCAGGGTGTGTGTGGGAAGTTGCATTTTCCCATCGTGCTTGTCATACGAGGTTAAGGAGAATCTTCTGATAAAGACACTTAGTTCAGCTTTTCTGCCTTTTTAAAAGAAAAACTAATTTTCTTACAGGTTTTGTGTGTGAAGCACTGTGGAAACCTGAAGGACTACCAGTCACAACTTTATAGTACAGTGGCGCCACCTGATGGTAAGGTTTCACATCACTTCTTTGAGTCATATGCTAATCAATTTCTCTTCTTCCAAAGAGAGGTATGTGAGGTGTTTTGGTTTATTGGGGGGGGGGGGTTCTTAAAAGATTAGTTTGAAAGGCAGTGATGGGCAGCAGAGGGACAGACACAGGAAGAGAGAGATCTTCCACCCAGTAGTTCACTCCCCAAATGAGCCAGGCCCAAGCCAGGAGCCAGGAATGCCATCTTAGTCTCCTACATAGGTGTCAGGGGCCAAGTACTTGGACCATAATCTGCTGCCTTCCCAGGTGCATAAGCAGGGAGCAAAATCGGAAGCAAAGCAGCTGGTTTGAACCAGCATTGTGATACGGGATGTGTGTGTTGCGAGCAGCCGCTTAACCCATGCCAGGATGCATTTTAAGCAAAACAAGTGATTATACTTGCACTCCCCTACCCTAGTCCATCCCGTCCCTTGGTTAAGTTCCTCCCTTTGCTGTTCCTAGAACATATGTTTTTGACAGACTACCATTCTGGCAGACAGGAGCTAGAGATGAATAAGAACCAGCTGTATTTGGGAAAGCTGGAAGCAGATGATTATAATACAGTGTGGTACAAGCTGCGATAAGATGTTACAGGATGGTAGAGAACACATAGGCTGTAGTGTGATGCCGGCACCGTACAAGCCATGCAGCTTTGCATTGGAATTCAGAGGCTTATGAATTCTCTGTGTAAGCATTCCTTTTAGCATTCTTGAATATTAAATCCTTTTTCACAAGTAAATATTTTTCATTTCTGTATTCTTTTCTTTTTAAACAGAAGTAACAATTAATTATCGACATGGCCTTCCTTTGATAACACTTACTTTGCCATCCAGAAAAGAGCGCTGTCAATTTGTAGTCAAACCAGTACTGTCAACAGTGGGGTCATTCCTTCAGGACCTCCAGAGTGAAGACAAAGGTGTCACAGCTGCAGCCATCCTTGCGGCAGGTATGCATGTGTTTTACTGCTTTGTCCCAAGTCCCACAGCCTCGTCCTTGCTTTTCCCAACCTTTGTTTTCATCCTTTATTTTTCTAAAAAGAAATTGATTCTTTAATTCATTATATAATAAGTTATTGACCTTTACTGAGAACTTAAGTTTTTACACACCAGTGATTTTTTTTTAAATTTAACTCCATTGAATAAATAATCAACAGAATAAGTTTAATGTAAGTTTCAGTTTCTTTCAAACTTAGCCTGAAAATATTCTCCCTTTGTTGTGGGCAAAGTGTTACCTACATACCTATTCCAGGTCCTTGCATTTTACCTAGAGAAGCAATCTAAGTAGAGGCACACACATGGTGATAAAGTTTATTTAAAAGCTGAGTAGAACACACACACAAGTGGGAATTGTTCAGGAATAGAGTGGGCCAGGAAGGGAAAGGATGGGGGAGGGAAGTACAGAGACGACGCTTCAGTGCCTTGTCTTGTCCTCCTCTGCAGAGAGGGAGTCCGCCACCCAGTTGCCCTCCTCTTCTGAGGATGGAGAGGAATGGGTGACGTAGAACCACCCCCAGCTGCCAGGTGAAGGGAGATACATCCTGTGAAAGGGATTATTTGACTGACAGGTAGGCGGATAGGATTACATAGGGCAGAGGAGGTATGGCTTCCCAGCTCATGGCCCTAACTTAGCTACCTGCCTTATCATAAATCACCTTCAGAAATTTTAGCATGGGCATTAGCATGTAATTTTCAGCAAAATTTGAATAGAACATGGAATGCGATTTCAGTGAATAAGATAGCCAGTGAGTAGTTAAAATACATACATTGTTCATTTTTCTTTGTTATAAAGCAATTACAGCCTAGTATTTTTTGACAGAATTAGCTCATTATTTAATAACCTTATTTAGACATTTTAAGTTTATGATATATTTTTTATGTTCTCTAAAATGGTCTTCAACCAACTGCTCCTAAAATAAGGAGTTCTTTGCTTCAGCCCAGCATACAGAAGCTACAAATACAGATACATTTATACATCCGTCTTGTTACTTTAACGTAGTAGTAAATACTGAGGAAAAAATTATTTAAAGGGTAATAGATACTATTGCAGTGTTGAAAAAGAAACATTTTTCTTCCTTACCCAATTTCATAACCATTTAAAGTTAGCTACAGAAGTTTGACAAATGGGGATTAAGGAATTGGACTCATTTGACAAATACTTGCTGAGTACCTTACATATACCAAGTACTGTTGTAGATATTAGAGCAAAGAGCAGAAGGGATAAAACGTCTGCCCTTATAGAACTTACATTGCAAGAGGAGACAGTAACAAGATAGAGAAAGAAATTATGTTTTATGTTTGATAATAAGGGTATTGGAGAAAGCAGAGTACGGGAGTAGAAGTGGCGGGGTGGGGAGGGGGCGGTGGTGTGTCTCACTAATGTCGCACTTGAGTGGAGACCTGGAACAGATGAGGATGGAAGGTGGGACCCTGGAGGCCTAGGCCTTGAGGTCAGAGCAGACTCCAGTGTGGCTCCAAGGAAGGAGCTGGGCAGGAAGAAGAAATCTGAGAAGTGGAGGGGGCCAGATTATGAAAGCCTTGATGTGAGGCCTTTGGTGGAACTGGAAGGGGAGCTTGCTTACTACTAAAACATGGAATGTAGAATAAGGTTTAGCTCTTTGACCACAATGAACATACTAATACTTCATCCCTAAACTAGACCCTTCCCTGGGGCACGGGGGCAGTGGGGGCCCACGGGCCTTCTCTAGGTGGGCAGGGCCTGCCTTCCTGAGCTTCTAGGAGCTCAGATGCAGACCTAGAGCTGGGAGGGGTTGAACTGAACAGTGCTTGTCTGGGACAGGTACTCAGCAAGCATTAGTTAAATAAATGACATGAGAAAGGTTAAAGATGTTTACCCTGCTAATTTCTAAAAATAATTTGAGTGACTTTGAAACAGCACAAAGAAAGAGACTAGGAAGGAACTAAGACTTTTCTCTGAGGTTTAGAGAAAAGTTGGGTTTAAATTGATACTGGCCCAGGAATGTATGAAAAATTCAATGTTGTATCATTGGCTCCTATTTTAGGTCAATATTTTGATGTTCATACGTTTATGTAAAGGGTAATGTATTATTTCAACAAAAATTGTACTCAGTTGATTTCTTTTTATAGTAATACTTATAGACGCTGGTTTGAAGTCATTTAAAGGTAAGTTTTTAAATGACACTTGGAAAGTCAATTAAGAGGATTGGTGTGTTATTCATGCTTTTTAAGAAAATTGTGTGGGAATTTGTGCTTGAAAGAGTATTCTGAGCTTGTCAGTTTGCCCATAGTGTGGGTTGAATTATTTAGCAATTCTTGGAAAAGTGTTCTCACCTCAGCTGACGAGTGGGAACCGGAAAATCCAAGTTCTAGGAACAGAGACCTTGCAGACTTGACTGCTGCCTTCTGGAACAAAAGAACTACAGGGAGCCAGACAGGAGGTAGGCAAGCAGGTTCTTCGTGTTGTCCTGCATGTTAATGTGACTGAAATTGCTCTGCGTGAGTGTAGCCAAGCACTCAGCTGGCCAAGAGAGAGTAGACCTCCAGCATTCTCTTGCAGTTCATTTCACATAATCTATGAACTTTTCTGTAGAAGAGATGACAGAAAGAAAAACCCTACCCAGCACCAGTTTTTAAATTGTTGTTCAATGACTACTTTCTTAACACCTGGGTTACATTAAAGTTTAGTTCAAATATATAACAACTAGGCCATATGAGAAACTGAGCAAAGCACATTGAGGTTAAAAATTTCCAAGAAATTTTTTTTCTAAAATGTTCCTGGGATACTTGAATCTCTTCTGCTTCTTTCCTCACCTCAATAAATTAAACAACAGAAATGCGAATTTTGTTTTAAAAATTATTTACTTATTTGAAAAGAAGAGCAAAAGAGAGACCAAGGTCTTTCATCTGCTGGCTCACTCCCCAAAGAACCCTACAGCAGGGGCTGAGCCAGGTAGAAGCCAGAAATCCATCCAGGTCTCCAACATGGGTGGCAGGGACCCAGCTTCCTAGGCCGTCATCTGTGCCAGGTTCTCGGGGCTTTATACCCCAGTAAGGGGAAGAGGCAACGGACTGAGGCAAGGATTTGAACGGGAAGACAGCAGAGAAAAGGGGGTGAGGAGTTAACTTGCTTGGACAGCAAGTGGGGGTCCTGAGAGAAAGCTCAGGCCCCTGGGTGGCAGGCAGTTGTCTTCTTTATACCTCTGGCCTAGGAAAGGGCCCTGTATACGTGCAACAGCCCAGGGCCAAAGTGACATCTACAGTGATAAGGCAGACACCTCCTTGACAGGCATTTATCAATGTCAACAATTTACAATGTGGGATTTTAATCCGCTTGGGATGTCCCAAGCTAGTGGCTGTGAAAGCCAGAACTGGCAGAATCTTAGGCCATGAAAAACAAAGTGCCACATGACTTCTTCAGTGTCTTCATTAATTGGGCTCAGTTTGCCAAGTGTGGTGTTATCTATTTGTGTCCCAGCAGCCTAATAAGTCCTAACAATCTGCTGCTTCGTAGGTGCATTAGCAGGAAGCTGGATTGAAAGTGGAGCAGCTGGGACTCCAACCATCACTTGAATATCGGTGCTGGTATGCCAAGAGGCAGCCTAACCTGCTGTGCCACGATGCCAGCCCCCCAATTTATTTCTTAGCCTTAATTATGTTCATTACTGTCAATGCCACCCCCACCTCCTTGAAGTTCTGCCTCCTCTCATTTTCCACAAGCTCTCCAAAATGGTGGAATGAGCCAGGGTGGTGGTGGTTTGTGGTGCTGTGTGGCCATGAATTTTCAGCTGACACCAATCAGTCACCTCTAGTAATTCAGAGAAAAGTAAGCTTTAAAAATGTTGCGACCTGTGTGCTGTAAGCAGAAGCAATGGACTTTGGCTAAGCAGAATAATGACATTGGGCTCTTAGACTGGAAATGACAGAAGGGGACATGAGCAGAGACAATGTTTACTGATGGGCTGTGCTGCCAACACTCCCCAGACACTGCAACCTCCACTGCCCCAGCCTTGCTCTGAGGAGGTTCCACTTTCCTTGAATCTACATGAGCTTCTGCAGGTGTAGTTGGGCATTAACCTAGATTCCAGCCCAGCTGACCCAGTGGGACAGTGAGCTCCTGCCTGTTCCATTTGGTCCAATGAAATGGGAGGTAGAGGAGTGGGAGCTGTGGGGCATTGGGTTAAGTTGTAGTGCATTGGGTGCACTTGGGCTACCTCCATCTCATATCACAGTGGGATAGAGTCCTGCCTCTGGTTTCCATCCAGCTTCCTGCCAGTTCTCACTGTGGGAGTCATCAGATTATGGCTCAAGTACTTGAGTTCCTGACACCCACTTGGAAAATCCAGATGAAATTCTTGGCTCCTGGCTTCTGCCTGGCCCAGTCTTAGCTATTGCAGGCATTTTGGGAGGACACCAATGGCCGAGGATATCTCTGTCTCTGTCACCCTGCCTTTCAAATAAATAAATAAATCTTTACAAAGAAAAAGGAAGCAGGAGGCAGAACACCAAGGAGGAATTAGTCCTTTCAATAGGAATGCTGTTTGAGTTTGGAGGAGCCTCCCAAAAGGCAGATCTCCATGCTGTATTGTAAAGACTTGGGTCAGTAACTTTCTGTGTATTGGAAAATGGTTCTTACAAACAAACAAACAGACAGATATTTGTATTATGTTTTTGCTTTCAGATGGCAGTGAGATTCCAGCTTCCACCTTGATGGGGATTTTGCTCATGAAAGATTTTAAACTTGTCATTAATAAAATAGCATATGATGTGCAGTGCCCCAAGAAAGGTAAGAAACGCATCCTAGCCAACTGTCTCAACTGGGGCTTCTAAAGGGAGCAGAGCAGACCTTGTTGGGAACAGAATTCTTTGACATATTTCAAAATGGCTACTTTTTTCCTCCCACTGCTAGAAGCAGGAAGGGGCTTTTCTAATTTTTACTGTGAGAACCTGGTAGAACTTCCGAGGTAAAGCTGATTAAAGTGTGGATATAAATCTCAAGAGTTGTCCTCACTGAGCCCCCAGCAATTTGCAAGTTACAGTGCAGGTTTCCATACCCTGGGTCTGGTTACTTGCACGTCCTCGATCATGGTGGTCTGCTCCAGGAAGTCATGGTTCTCTGTATCCACTTCTGTCTCAAGTTCAGGGGTAGTAGTTTGTCCTGTGACTTCAGTTCTCTTAGAGATGTGAGGTGAGTTGCTGATTTTCAGTTTCTTCAGCTTTTTTGCTTACTGTTAAGATGGAGTGGACTGCCATTGTGGAACAGCAGGGTAAGCCGCTGCTTGCAATGCTGGCATGCTATATTGGAGTGCCGGTTCTAATGCCGGCTGCTCTGCTTCTGATACAACTCCCTGCTGATGTGCCTGAGAAGGCAGTGGATGATGGCCCAAGTGCCTGGATTCCTGCCACTCACATGGGAGACCAGGATGGAGTTCATGGCTTCTGGCTTCAGCCCAGCCCAGCCCAGCCCTGTTTATTGTGGCCATTTGGTGAGTGAACCAGCAGATGGAAGATCTCTCTCTCTCTGTCTCTCTGTCTCTCTCTCTCTCACACACACACACACACATACAGAGTCTTTAAATAAACCTCTAAAAAATTTTTAAGAAACAGAGTGAGGAGTTCTAGGCTCCTATGTGTCAGATTGAGAACCAGAAGTCTTAACTCTAAGACAGCTTCCCCCCACCCCTCATTTCAGAAACTACAGGTTGAGCATCCACAATCTGAAACTCCAAAACCTTTAAAGTGCTGATATCAATCCAGAGGTGAAAAATTCTACACCTGACCCTCATGATGGGTTGTAGACAGAACACAGGCACACTAACCTTGAGCGGCAGTAAGTGATGCTCCAGTGGTTGGGTCCCTGTTACCTACATGGGAGACCTGGATTCAGTACCTGGCTTCTGGCTTTGACCTGGCCTAATCCTGGCCATTGCAGGCCTTTGGCGAGTGAACGACTGGATGGGAGCTCTTCCTGTCTCTCTCTGCCTCTCAAAACGAAATAAAAAAATCACAGGTATTCTAAATGTATTTTATATACTTAATTTCAGGCTGTGTGTAAAAAGTATCTGAAACATAAATGAACTTTGTGTTTAGATTTGGTTTCATCTCCAAGATATTTGACTGTGTTCATGTAATATTCCAGAAACCAAAATCAGAGATATTTCTATCACCAAACATTTTCTACCAGTGATATTCAACCTTGTTTTTTAAGATTTATTTATGTGAAAGGCAGAATTACAGAGAGGCAGAGGCAGACAGAGAGGTCTTCCATCTGCTGGTTCACTCCCCAGGTGGCCACAATGGTCAGAGCTGTGCCGATTCAAAGGCGGGAGCCAGGACCTTCTGGGTCTCCCATGTGGGTGCAGGGGACCAAGGACTTGGGCCATCTTCTACTGCTTTCCCAGGCCACAGTAGAGAGCTGGATCGGAAGTGGGGCATATGGGATTCGAACCGGCACCCATATGGGATGCCGATGCTGCAGGTGGCAGCTGTATCTGCTATGCCACTGCACCAGCCCCTAAACCTCTGTCGTTTTTACCTTCAGCTTTTGGAACGTTTTCAGCCATCATTACTTCCAATATTGCCTCTGTTCCTTCCTTTCTTCTTCTAGTATTCCTGCTTTGTGTGTGTCATACCTTTGTAATTGTCCCATAATCTTAGGCATTCCATTAGCATTTTCCCCATTTCTTTCTTTGGTTTTTAGTTTAGGAAGTTTTTATTGATACATACCCAGCTCACAGATTGTCTTCTCTGTAGTGTCTAGTCTGATAATGAGCCCCTCCAAGACATTCTTCATTTCTGTCTCAATGGTTGTTTTGATCTGGCGGTCCCTTTTGATTCTTTGAGAGTTTCCATCTATCTGTTTGCATTATTCACGTGGTCCTGTATATCGTCCAATTTTTCTATTACAGTTGTTTTAATAACCCAGTCAGACGGCTCCAGAATCTTTGCCATGGTAGGGCCTAGTTTTGATGCTTGCTTTGTCTCTTCAGACTATGCATTTTTCTTGCTTTAACTTTTTTTTCCCTGAAAGCTGAACATAATATATCAGGTAATAGAAAGCAAAGTAAGCAGGTCTTTTAGTGTGAGGTTTATGTTCATCTGGGTGGGAGTTAGGCTATTTAATGTTTGCTTTGCTGTAGGTATCAGAGGTTTCATTTCCTTTTGTGCCCTTATTTTGGTCTCTCACACTCTTTTTTGGGGTTTCCCTAGAAATTCCTTCTTAAATAGAACCTGTGTCTTGTATAGAACTGGAGCCCAGATGATGTGCTGAAGTACTGAAGAAAGGAAGCATGTATAATCTAAGGATTGAATATTTGGTTTTATTGGCCTGCATCCCTAGGCTGTAGCTTTCACAATAATTTTCTAGCCTTTTTCTTTCCTCTTTTATCCCCTGTGTAAGACAGCAAGACTTCCAGGGGCTGGAGTTGGTTAATTGCCCTTCCCCAAGGTGGATTAGGCTCTAGGGTAGAGTGGTCTCCTTGTTCTCAAATGAAGAACATATAGGCAGGGCTATTTCAAAATGATGGCCTTTCCTCTCCCCTGCCTGAAGCAGTGGAGTGTTTTTCTTTGGTCTCTGATCTGCAGTGTGAGGAGCTGGTGAGGTTCCTGGAGGGGAAACTGATGAAAGTGTGGAGTTCTGCTTCCCAGGCAGTCTACATCGAGCCTCCAGCAGCAGTTCAAGTTCACCACCAGTCTTGGCTGCAGAGGCTTCGGCTCCCCCTGAGCGGTGATTACAGACTGCTAAGGGGAAGGGGAGGAATCCTGAGTTCATGCCTTATGAACTGATGATCAGTAAGTCAAAGAAGGCTCTTGCTGACATTTGGAATGCTGAGCGCTGCCTGGTAAATGTCGAAGGTTGTTGGAGTTGGGAAATCACCATTTTGCAGCCAGATTTTACATCATAGTAATCATCAATAGATGCTAAATGGGGGAAGGAAGAACGTAAGGAAATGTTAGGAAACGGGTAGGAGGGGAGGTATTTGGCCTCGCAGTTGAGATGCAGTTACGACTGCCTGCTTCCCAGGTCTGAGTGCCTGCTTCAATCCCAGTTCCTAGCCCCAGCTTTCTCCTAATGCAGACCCAGTGATTCAGCAGCGATGGCCCAAGTAATCAGGTTCCTGCAACCACATGAGAGAACCTAGATTGCTTTCTTTTTTTATATATATATTTTATTTTATTTGGAGTGGAGCAGCCGAGACTCAGACTGGCGCCCATATGGGATGCCGGTGCCACAGGCAGCGGCTTAAACTGTTATGTCACAACGCAGGGCCCTGGAAGCCTTATTGTCTCCCAGCTTTTGCCCTGGACATTGTGGACATCTATGGAGTGAACCAGTGACAGTGTGTTGTCTGTCACTTTGCCTCTCAGAAAAAGGGAAGAAAAAGGGAAGAAAAAATAAAGCTTCTGTTCCGAGGAGCCCAGCAGCCACCTCCAGTATAATTTGAACACCAGTGGCCCCTGTGTCTGTGACTTGTTCTCATTTTTTATTTTTCATGCATTTCTTTTTGTTGTGATATAACTAGATGATCCAGGCTGATCCTGTGCCCATCATGTCCCAGCACTGGGATTAGCCATTTCTCTGAGGATCTCTGAAAGGAAAACATCTAACAACTTTCTAAATTGTATATTTGAGCATTACATGGAATTTTTAAACACAAACAATAGAGAAAATGAATCACAAAATAGATTGAGTGATTCATCTTAACAGTTAAAACTTTCTTCTTTTTTTTTTCTAAGATTTATTATTTAAAAGGCACAGAGAGAGAGAGAGAGAGATGTCTTCCATCCACTGGTCACTCCCCAGATGGCCACAATGGCCAGAGCTGAGCCAATCCAAAAGGAGCCAGGAGCTTCTTCCCGGTCTCCCACATGGGTGCAGGGGCCCAAGGACTTGGGCCATCTTCCACTGCTTTCCCAGGCCATAGCAGAGAGCTGGATTGGAAGTGGAGCAGCCAAAACTCGAACCAGTGCCCATATGGGATGCCAGCACTGCAAGTGGCAGCTTTATCCGCTATGCCATGGCTCTGGCCCCCTTAATCTCCTTTAAATTGGGGCAAGGGCAGGCATTTGACCCAGCAGTTATACCACTTGGGACACCCACATCTTATATCAAGGTGCCTGGATTTGAGCCTAGCTCTGTTTCCTGCAAATGTACACACTGAGAGGCGGCTGATGATAGCTCATGTACTTGGGTTCCAGCCACCCATCTGGGACACCAGCATTGAGTTTCTGGCTTCTGGCCCAGCTGCAGCTGTTGTGGGCATTTGGGGACTGAATCAGCAGAGGGAGATCCCTGTCTCTGTTTCTGCCTTTCAGATAAACAAAAGTTAAATAAAATCAGGGCTGTATTTAACCTCAAAGCAATAGCGGGCAGAAGTTGAGAAATATGAAAATAGAAACCCCTGTTAAGGTCTAGTTTTCATGTCCAGTGGGTTCCTAACACCTGGTAAGGCCTTCCACTTCCTGTTCTGAGTTGAGCATCTGAGTGAGCAGGTGGGAACAAGTGTTTTCAGGGCTTCTCATTGCACTGCGTGACCTTCCTCTCCCTCGAGCCCCCAGGTGGAGCTCAGCACAGCGCACCAGCTCCCGCTGGCGCACTAGAAGGCCCTTCTGCCTGTGCGGAGGGTGCTGTGTTGGGATTGAGCATCACAGGCAGACGTCCCAGGTCTCACTGTGCCTCACCGAACACCGAGTGAAGCTTGCCCCGTGTCGCACAGTAAATTCCCAGTGGGCACAGTAGGCGTGGTCAGAAGGAAGATAACAGGAGACATCCTGCACTAATTAAAACATCAGCAAGCTTAGATATGAAAACTGAAGGGTGTGAAATAAAATCCACATATGCAGGTAAAGGAATAAGCAGCTTCTGAAGAAAAGAGGACGGAGTGATTGTGCCTCAGAGCCTGGGTTGGTAATGGATTCTGGGGCTCAGGCTTGTGAAAGCATTGCCAAGGGCACTTGTCACCGAGCTTAGATGCACATTTTATGTCACTTCCTGTCCTTCCTAGTGGGGAGAGAAGACTGGCTCTTTTGACTCATCCACCTGGCCTATGCAACCTGCAAATTCTTGGCACAAATGATTTCATCCACACACACAGACTCACACCCCCTTACCCCCACAACATTTACACGCTTCTAACAGCTCCAGGCAGCTGCCCCCAAGTGCCTGCTGAGAGAACAGCACTGTCACTGTGAAGAGAACTGAAATCCTGCTGTTCAGCCAGTGCCTGGCTCCTGAGCCCCTATCAGAACTATCACTTTGTAAAATTTTGCGATTATAAACCCTTCTCCAGCCACACTTTTTAAAAAGGATTTATTTATTTGAAAGGCAAAGTGACAGAAAGAGCAAGAGACAGATACCCATTGATTCACTCCCCAAATGCCTGCAGTAGCCCAGGGTATGAATCTTCCACTGCTCAGACCCATGTCTCAGGGACCTGAGTTGTTCTTTGAAACGCTGTTTATTTCACTCCACAGCATTGGACAAACTGGGCCCTGTCTATGCCTTTCTTTGTGTGTAGACCTTTTAGATACCAATACCTTGTTCACAGTAGCAGGAGAGCTTTTTATTTAAGTGAATTTAATTGTTTTTCTGTGAACTTTTAAAAAAAAGATGTATTTATTTATTTGAAAGGTGGTGTTACAGAGAGGCAAAGGCAGAGAGAGAGATCGATCTACCATCTGCTGGTTCACTCCCCAAATGGCTGCAATGGCTGGACCTGGGTAGATCCAGAGCCAGGAGCTTCTTCTGGGGCTCCCATATGGGTGCGGGGCTCCAAGGACTTGGGCCATCTTCTATTGCTTTCCCAGGCCGAAGCAGAGAGCTGGATTTAGAAGTGGAGCAGTCCAGAAGCAACTGGTGGCCATATGGGATGCCAGCACTGCAGGCGATGGCCTTACCCACTCTGCCACAGCGCCTGCCCCAAGGAGGACTCTTCTACAGACCTAAGAAGCCTAGAAAATCACTCTTGGCTTTAGGTACCTTCCAGGCTTTAGCTTGGAATGCAGAAGGGGTTAAAGGTCACAGCCAAGTCTTGAAGAATGCAGTGGTGGTAGATGAAAAGTAACTTCAGGGTGAGACCTGATACTGACTCTGGGATTGTAGTTTGCAAGAACCCTGTGGCGAGGACCATCTTCCCTCTGCTCACCTTGTCCCCTCCCTCAGGTTCTCGTATAACTGATGATGAATTAAAAACTCCTGGAAAGGGGTCACTGCAGCCTAATTTTATGTGGATTTATAAACTCACAGTGGAGGAAGGATGAGAAGCCCATAAATCAAAAGAACTCTGTGTCAAAAACACTGAAACTGACTCCTGTAGGGGTTGAAAAAAATATTTTTCCCTCTACCATTAGTTCTTAGCTGGTGTGATCCTTGTTAACACAAGAGAGATTAATAAGATCAAAACAAATAATAGCTTATTAACATGTATATTTCAAATATACATGGGAGAATCCTGGAAATAAATCTCAGAGGCAGTTTAGACCTCTGCTTATGTAGCATCTTAGAATAATTTCTTTGAGAAATGACAAAGGGGAAAGACCTTGAGTCTTCACGGGCAGCACATTCTGGGAGGAGGACCAAATGGCTTAATGGCAGACAAAACTAGTGTAGTGTGTTATGCAGGTTCCCAGCTGCCGTCTCCAGGGTAATAAGGGTCTAAAATGTTCTCTGGTCATCAACCTTTGTTCTTTCTGGTAGTCGGGGAGGTGGACACCATTTGTAAATTTGGATTCTGCTTTTAGGCAAATGGGAAGAGCCAGAGAGCTTTTCTTATATCTGTTTCTTCATTGCCTTCAGCTCAAAATAATCTTTCTGGCATGGTGACATATCTATAGTGGCATATTCTGGTCCCCCACATATGAGGGTTCTTCAGTTAGTGTGTGGGAAACAGAATTTATAAAGTTTTTTTTTTTTTTGACAGGCAGATTTAGAGAGAGACAGAGAGTTATAGACAGAGACAGAAAGGTCTTCCTTTCCGTTGGTTCACCCCCCAAATGGCCGCTGTGGCCAAGGGAGCCGTGGCTCCGGCCAAGTTGTTTGTTTTTAACTGTGCAAAACATTTTGAAATCCATGCGTAGCTTTTTTACAGTACTCATTTTTCAGACATATTCAAGCATCTGTGTACTGCCTTTCAGATTTACACTGTTGTTTACTGTGACTCACTCTTGTTCAAAAGATCATATACTTGAACTTCTCAAACATACACTATACTTTTGTTTGCATGCTTGTATTCCAGTTTCTTTCCCTTGTGAGCCCTAAAAATAATTTTTGGAAAGATGGTTGGGGATAGAGAGGGACCTCAGGTGTAAAAGTGAACCAACCCATAAACCGATGTGTTACCAGTTAGGGTGAGGAATGAACCTGCATTCTGGAAAATGAATAATCTCCTTCTCATGTGGGCATATTTTAGGAGACCCCAAAATTTGTATTGCAAATAAGACAACAAAAACCAGGATCTTTAACCCCATTGTGCTGTAGTTTATCTCTCCAGATTGTCTTAATCTGAGACTGATGGACTCATCTCGATGTGACGGGGAGATAGGCCAGGGCCCAGTGCCTCACCAGGCTTTGGGAGTGCTCTGGAAGATGCAGATTGGGTTCCCTGGACCTTACGGGGGAAAGCGCGGTGACTCCCTTATGTTTCCCTTGTGTCTTTTCTCAGAACATCTAAATAATGAACACACCACTGAGATGGAAAATGTGAAATCCTTGGTTCACAGGCTGTTCACAGTTTTGCACTTAGGAGAATTTCAGAAAAAGAAAGAACACCATTTACTGGAGAAAATCGACCACCTGAAGAAACAGCTGCAGCCCCTTGAACAGGTTAGGAAGTACCACAGTTGTCTGTCAGAAAATATGACCTCGTATTTGGTTGAGCGCACCTCATGTGAATGCTTTTCTGAGTGCTTTTCATATGCTTGCTTCTTGACTCCCCAAAGAGCTGGGAGATCAGTACTGTTGTCCTCCTTGTTTTCAGTGAACAGCTAACAGGTGGGAGAGCCTGACGTGAGCGCAGGCGGTCCAGCTCCAGAGCTGCCATCTTCCACCCTGCGCCTCCCCTTCAGGGACAAATTGGGACAGTAGACTGGAATGCACTTGCTGGGTGCTCTGTTTCCTTTTCTGGGAGTAGCCCTTGGCCCCAGCTCTGCTGATCAGAATTGTAGCTGCAGTTAGTAACAAAGGCTTCCTAACATGATCAGTGTAGAGGAAAAAAATTAGATTTTTGTAGAGGGGTAGGGGGCAGAATCTGTTTTACGAGAGAAACTGCTCTAAAACTCAAATCCAATTTGTGAAGTTTTGTTTTAAAAGGAGGGTATATGTGTGTCTTTATGTGAATAAGTTATTTCTGGAAATATAAGTAATCTTAGTAGTATCTCTAATGGTACTTAAGGGGTAGCAGAGGGAGGGATCTTTTGTTGTTTTCAAGATTGCTTACCCACGATTTAATTTTTTTCTTTGCCTTTTACAAAGTAAAACTGTGGGGCTGGTGTGGTGGTGCTGGTTCGAGTCCCAGCTATTTTTCTTTTTTTTTAAGATTTATTTATTTGAAAGGCAGAGTTATAGAGAGGCACAGGCAGAGAGAAAGAGATATCTTCTATCCTCTGGTTCATTCCCCAGATGGCCACAATGGCCAGAGCTGCGGCAATACGAAGCCAGGAGCCAGGAGCTGCTTCTGGGTCTCCTCCCACATGGGTGCAGGGGCCCAAGGACTTGGGCCATCATCTTCTGCTGCTTTCCCAGGCCATAGCAGAGAGCTGGATTGGAAGGGGAGCAGCCAGAACTTGAACCAGTGCCCATATGGGATGCCAGCACTGCAGGTGGCCACTTTACCCACTATGCCACGGTGCCGGCCCTGTAGCTGCTGTTTCTAATATCTGTGCTGTAATGTGCCTGGGAAAACAGCAGAACATGGCTCAAGTGCTTGGGTTCCTATTACTCAAGTGAAAGACCCAGATGGAGTTCCAGGCTCCTGGTTTTTGCCTAGCCTAGACCCAGCTATTGCAGGCATTAGGGGAATGAACCAGCAATGGAAGAATTCTTTCTCACTGTGTCCCTCTGCTTTTCAAAAAAAATCTTTTTAAAAGTGAAAATATTTAAAAATTTAAAAATCTAAAATCTAATGGATAGTTCTCCTCTTGTCCTATCCTTCCAGTTACTACATCTCCCATACCTATGAATCATTTCAGATTTTTTAAATCCCTGTACATACTCATATCTTTTCACTAATAATGTATCCTGGAAATCCTTCCAAATTGGTACATAGACAGCTTCCTAATTATAGTCACATGCATCTTGATTAACTTTGGACCGTCTTGTGCTACTAGCAGTGAACTGTAAGGAATTCACGAGTGCAGCTGCACCTGTAGGTTGACATCCTAGATGTGGAACTGCTGGGCCCAACAATGGGCCTGTATTTTAGAGGGTCCAGAGGATGACTTCTAAGTTCATTGCATACCATTCTGTAATATCTGTTCCCCCTGGCAAGTACCATCCTGAGGGTTTAAAAAAGATGAGCAAACTGATGGGGAAATGAGTAACTACTCAGCCAGGTACGCATGCTATAGAAAATTTCCCATACATGCAGTCTGTTCAGGATGTTGCGGATGTGCTTTGGTCAAAGGAGTCCTTTCAATCAGACTTACTGACTTGAAAGTGTTAGAAAAGTCTTCTATGTGCTGATTCACTCCCCAGATGATGGTAATGGATAGAGTTGGTGGTGATGGATAGAAGCAGCCAAGAGCAGCTTCTGGGTCTCCTTCCTGGGTGCAGGGGTCCAAGGACTCGGACCATCCGCTGCTTCTCCAGATGCATCAGCAGGGAGCTTGATCAGAAGTGAGGCAGGGGCTGGTGCTGTGGTGCAGTAGGTTAAGCCTCTGCCTGAGTGCAGCATCCCACTGGGCACTGGCCCTGGCTGCTGCACTTCCAATCCAGCATGCCTGCTATTGGCCTGGGAAAGCGGTGGAAGATGGCCCAAGTTCTTGGGCCCTGCACCCATGTGGGAGATCTGGAAGAAGCTCCTGGTTCCTGACTTTGGATCAGCCCAGCTCCGGCCACTGTGGCCATTTGGGGAGTGAACCAGTAATGGAAGATCACTCTGTCTATAATTCTGCCTTTCAAATAAATTAAGAGAAAATAAAGTGAAGCAGCCAGGACTTGAACCAGTGCTGATATGGGATGCCAGTACCACAGGTGGCAGCTTACCCGCTGTACCATGGTTCCAGCCCTCTTTTCTTGTTCTTTCTTTCCCTTAAGTCACTTGTAAACTGGATTGTTTCCTGTTCCTCCAGGTGAAAGCTAGAATTGAAGCTCGTTCAGAAGCCAAAACCAGTGGGCTCTTGTGGGCTGGATTAGCACTGCTGTCTGTCCAGGGCGGGGCCATGGCCTGGCTCACTTGGTGGGTGTACTCCTGGGATATCATGGAGCCAGTCACATACTTCATCACATTCGCAAATTCCATGGTCTTTTTTGCATACTTTATAGTCACGCGGCAGGTGAGTATCTTTGCAAAGAATTCATTATCCAAGTAATGAGCAATAAAGGCTTTTTATGTACTTAATTCCTACAATCTGGAGTTTCGTAAGCGGATACTTCATTGTTTTCCACAAGGCTGGCTGGAGACTTACATACAGCACAGAGAAACTGTATAAATAATTAGTATAACACAAATTCCTCCACTGGGATATACTTTTCCAATTTGTGTTCTCTACACCCTCATTTATAAATAAAATTGAATTTATAAGGCCAGCACCGCAGCTCAATAGGCTAATCCTCTGCCTGAGGCACTGGCACCCTGGGTTCTAGTCCCGGTTGGGACGCCAGATTCTGCCCCAGTTGCTCCTCTTCCAGTCCAGCTCTTTGCTGTGGCCCGGGAGTGCAGTGGAGGATGGCCCAAGTGCTTGGGCCCTGCACCTGCATGGGAGACCAGGAGAAGCACCTGGCTCCTGGCTTCGGATCAGTGCGGTGCACCAGCCGCAGCATGCTGGCCACAGTGGCCGTTGGGGGGTGAACCAACGGAAAAGGAAGACCTTTCTCCCTCTCACTGTCCACTCTGTCAAAAAGAAATTTATACTGCAAAACTCCCTGTAACTATCTAGTGATTATTTTGTCAGTCGCCCTTTTTCTCTTCCAATATGTATAATTCTGTCCTACCTTGCTTTTAAAAGCCACAGCTGATGCTTAGATGAAACTGTTATCTGTGATGGCTTATTCTTGTTCCGATGGTTACTACAGTATTTACTCATCCATCTGCCTGCCTTTGCTTTGGTGTGGCTAAATCACATCTCTCTCTTACAGAGGTATTATGTCTTTTCAAATCACGTTCTTTTTTTCCCCTCAGAATTACACTTACTCAGCTGTTAGGAGCAGGCAGTTTCTTCAGTTCTTCCATAAGAAATCACAGCAGCAACATTTTGACGTCGAGCAGTACAACAAGTTAAAGGAGGATCTTGCCAAGGTATTCTATTACAAATACATCTTACAGCTGATTTTCTTGGTAACTAGACCCTGTGTCAGGAACACAGTTGATGGCTCATGCTTGCAGGTTACATCCTGGGCTTAGGCTTAGGCTTTTGCATGCTGTACGGCTGTTGAGTGAAACAGCTGGCATAGCCAATAACAAATTTCATATCCTGTTTGTATTCTCTACCTGGGTATAGTTCAAATATGTGTGAAGACGTCTTCAATAATGTGGAGTGAAGTAAAAGGATTCCCATAGAAAGCTCTTTTTAAGCAAAGAGAATTTCAGTAAGATGAACACTGTGGTAAGGAAGTAAGCTCTAAGGGCATTTACGTTGCTTTCCCCAAGGACAGAAGAATCGTTAGTTTGCCTCCTGTGTTTTCCCTTTCACAGGAGGAAACAGGCCCAGGCGCACACTGCCAGGGTGTCAACAGCTTCCCTTGTGAAGCCTCAGGCCTGTCAAACATTTTACCGTATCTGTTTAAGCAGCTTTAAGAAAATTATTTGAAGGGGGTAGGAGGGGAGAGATCTTTCACACACTGGTTTACTCCCCAAATGGCCACCAGCTGACTTTGGATCAGCCCAGGTCTGGGCCAGGCTGAAGGGGCCTGAAGTACTTGGGATGTCACCACTGCCTGCAAGGCACATTAGCATGGAGCTGGACCAGAGCCGAGCTGCTAGGACTGAAAGTGATGCTCCGGGCTGTGCGGCAGTCATGCGTTACCACTGCACCACATCGCTGGCCCTTAGCAGCTCTTGTCTCTGGACTCCTGCTTTACTCACTGGCTTTGTTCAGGTGACTTCTCAGCACATAACTGTAGTTTTTTCTTAGTAATTTTATAACAGAATAGTTGTTCGTTGTGGCTGGCATTGTGGTACAGCAGGTTAAACCACCACTTGTGACTCTGGCATCCTGTATCAGAGTGCTTCTGATCCAGCTCCCTGCTGTGGACCCAGTGCTTGGGCCCCTGCAACCCACATGGGACACCCACATAGCGTTCCAGCTTCCTGGCTTTGGCTTGGCCCAGCCTCTGCTGTTGTGGCCATGTGGGCAGTGAATCAGCAGATGGACGATCTTTCTCTGTCCCTTCCTCTATCATTATGCCTTTCAAGTAAATCAACTTTTAAAAAAAGAATTCTTCATTGCTAAATGCATACTCATTTAATAGTCAACATTCTATCTTTTATCTGTACCTTCTAAATTACCCTCCCTGAAATTATTAAATTGAACCTTTAAAAAACTATTTCATGTAATCCTTATGTAGGACAAAGAGTAATTTTGGGCACTCCCCTTACATTTGAATGATCCAATCCAACATTAAGGAATGGATGTTCTCCCAGCTACTTTAAAGGACAGAGACGCTTAAGATTTAAAATGACACCTGTAAAGTACTACTTTTTCAGTAATAAAGGGGAGAGAAAAAGGATAAGTCATAGGGGTTTTTTATGAAAGGTTTTTTTTTCTTTAGAAACATTGTTAAAACATTTTCTAAAAAGAGAACCCTATAAAATTGACATTTTAGATATTTACTACTTAGTAGTCTAGATATGTTTCATTGCCCTAAGGAGACATTCAGCGTACAGAAGCCTCTCAAGCAGCAATGCTTTCTCTGGTCACGTGTGTTTCTTTTTCCCATGACAGGCTACAGAATCCCTGAAACAAGTGCGCCATTCTCTCAATTGGAGAATGAAAGTAGAGGAGCTCCGTGAGAAGAATTAATCTTAACGTTTTTAAACCTCATTGGATTTCTCCATGTGTTGATTGTATACCTTACAAATGACATGCGTCTCATAGTTCATTTCAATCTTTCAGTTTTTAGTTAATAAATTCTTGTAAAAAAGTATTCTTTGACGTTCTTTAGTTATTGCATTTTCATAACTCGCTACTATCAACACTGGCCTATGTCCGTCAAGCTGCTGCTGTCGGCTGAACCCCGGGGCGAGCTATCGCGTGTTCATTCCTCTGTGAAGGGGAGACGGTCTGTGTGCTTGGCACGCACTTCACTCTCAGGCTTCATCTGCAATGGTCTTCTCATTAGCCTTATCAAAAAGGTATGAATGCCCCACTAACCATAATGCCTCGTTGGTACTTTTTAAACCGTAAGTGAAACAGAGGCACAGTGTTGCTTTTGAATGACCAACTCACAAATTTTAGTTACCAAAGCCACCATTCCCCATCTTCAGCCTCTGGCAGATGATTAACAATTCAAACCTTTATGTGTCATGGTAATAATAAACCTTCACGTGACTGGGTATCGTCAGTGTATGAAGGTATATCAGAAAGCTTGTGGAAAATGAAATGTTCATTTTTGGTACAAAAAATTGAGATCCACGCGTAGTTTTTTCATAATAGACATATTCCAATAACTTTCTGAAATACCCTCCAGTAACTTAACACAGAAGATGCTGACAGTAAGACTTTGCAGGTGTTCAGCCTACAGTGGCTGAGAATTATTTTATATTTCATCATCAGAATGTCAGTTCATAAAAGGCTGTTTATTTTTAAGTGGCAGTTAAAGTCATATACAAAATGTGATAATCAGCTATTATGACCAAGTAAAACAATTCTACAAATTACAAAAATGGGAATTACAAAAATTTAATAAAATATGAATTTCAGTTTTTTTCAGGGAATAACAATGATCGATTCTCAGGTTTTAAAAACACGGTTTGGGTAACATTGAAGTTTACTAAAAAGATTAAATATTCCAAATGCTTATCAAAGCCTTATACCATGTCCACCATGGGCTATTTAAATAAAGTTTTCTGTTGAACATTAAACCTTAAAACATTTTAAATTGCTGGTGACATATCCAAGAAAGGAAACATTTTGAACACATCATAAGACAAGATAGTCCCTATTTGTTAGCTTTTGGAAAGAAATGCAGCTTTTTAGTTAGCATCGATGCAAAGCAGGGAACCTGTTTCTTTCCGATTGCACTGGGGTCTTTGCAAAAGTCCACTCGGCGCTGAGAAACTTTCCTGTTCACCAGTGTGAGGAGTTCTGTGAACTCTAAGGAGGAGCCGTATTTTCCCAACATCTCACACAAATCTTGAATGTACCATGAGCCATTCACGGTTTCTCGGTGAGAATAATATCCTAAGAAAGATGTGAAGGAGGGAAAAAAGGTCAGAAGTTTCCTGGCTTTCAAACAGAACTACAGAAGTTTTCCAAAAGCCTTGAAAATGATTGAGATGCATCCATACTTTATATTCTATGGTTTTACATAAATGGCACTAATTCTATATAATTTCCCAAGAAATCCCCAAGATGGCAGCCAGTGACTGAGAGACAGGAATTAAGTGAAAGAGGTTGCGTGGGGAGGCTGAGCAAGATGATGGCTGAGTAAGAGGCTCCAGCAACCATCTCCCCAGAGACACCAATTTGAACAGCTGTTCGTACACTAAGCCACCTTCACAAGAACTAAGGGAAGTTGGTAGGATACCACCGTGCCTGGTTTTAGTTTATTAATTAATAAAAGACAAGTTGAAGAAGGCTGCAGGGAAAGAGGTGCTCACCTTACCCCTCTCCCAGTTCCAGGGAGGTCACTCTAGAGAGAGACTTCACTGCCTACCTGGGCAGGAACAGGAAATTAAGTCCAGACCTTGGACTTGAAACAGCACCAGACCTGGTATGGTGAAACCCAGTGCCAGGTAGGACCCCACCGCCCCTGCACCAGGCCTGCAGACAGAGCCTTTGAACCCTCCTTAGCGAACCGTCTTTATTATCTCTGCCTCAGGCTCCAACAGCCAGGGGAGCAAGGCTCTAGCTGATAGGGAGCAGGGCAGGAAGGTGAGCTTAGGGTTTTTGCCTTGAAGTGCAGTTCCAGATCTGCAATATTAAGATTCAGCACCAAATAAAGCTCAAAGACCTCATCCCCAGGCCAGTACTCACTGCTCCTGCATCACTGCCAGCCTATGGGGACCTGGTGTGAATTCTCAAGACTTCCCTGGGCCTAGTGAACTTAACAGCCAGGTATGACCCATCTGACTGTCAGAATGGGTGGCCAAGGAACTCCCTCTTCTACCCCCTGTCCCCATCTCTGGAAGACAGTGGAGCAAGACTCCAACTGCTAAGGAGTGGCTGAGCACAGAACTGCATCTTCAGAATCCGTGCTGGCCTGGTAAAACCCAAAACTGAGCTGATCCCAATGGCACCTGTCCCCAAGCCAGTGCCTGCAGTAAACAGAGCCTGTGGACTTGCTCAAGTGCCAAGTGGAGACCCATGGCCCCAAGTCAGGTGGACTTACATCCCAGCTGGCATCATCTGTAGCTGGGTAGAACAGTCTCAGGCCCCAAGTCCACCTCCACAGCAGGCAGCTCACAGCAACGTGGGCCTTGGCCCAACCCTCTTGCTGCACTGGACTTGGTGGGCTGTGGGGCTTCAGATGGGGTCTAGCACCGGAGTCGTAGGTGGCCACAGGGCTGCTCACTCCATTCCTCCCACAGCCCTAGGCAGCACAACACAAAGAGTAACTGCCTGCCTGGAAGGAAAGTTAGACATGCGCATAGAAACGTGGAGCTGCCCATGCATCCCTACCAAAGGTGGGGCTGGCAATATTGTGGCCCTGCCCACTCCTGCCACTGCAGGAACCAGAGTGGCCCCTCTGACATTGGGCAGGTGCTCCTATGACCTTAAAGTCCTGGCCTTGCTTGTTGGGGCACCAAGAGACCCAGGCCACCCATGCTGGGACTGAGCAGAATGCAGAACACACCCACTGCCGCTGCCATCAATTACAGCAGAAGACACGGGGACTACGTAACACCAGCTGGAACTACACATCTTCAAGGAAAAGCCTTTTACCACAAAAGCCATTCTTTGCACATCTGGCAAACAAGTTGTCACCTGTAAACAGCTGCCAGGTAATAGGATTACCCCAACCACTAATGCTTTAGTAAAAGACTGCAGAGAAAAGGAGAATGATAAAATGTCTGAGGAAGAATGATAAGGATGTTCAGAGAGAGAGTTGAACAAATTCCAGAAAACAATGCAAGAGAAATTTTGAAAATGAAGAACTCCGTCAATAAAAATACAACTACAAATCAGCATATTAGGTCAAGCAGAATAAAGAATGTGAATTTGAAGATGGGTCTTTGAAACATCTGTCGGAACAACAAGACTACATGAACAAATATTTCTATTTGGGGGATTTCTGAAAGAGAAGCGAGGAGTAAAGGAATAGAAAACCTCTTCAAAGAAAGAATAGCTGAAAACTTCCCCTAGCTTGAGAAAGATAAGCACATCTAAGTACAGAAGACCCACAGGGTGCCAGACAGACATGACCAGAAGAGAGCATCATGACACTTTACAATCAAATTCTCAAAAGTACAACACAAGTAGAGAATTCAAACATTTCCAAGAGGGGCCGGCATAGTGGGTAAAGCTGCCAGCTGTGGGCATAGGTACGACACCAGCCGTTCAAGTCCCAGCCGCTCCACCTCCAGTCCATCTCCCTGCTAATGATCTGGGAAATGCAACGGAAGATGGCCCAAGTGTTTGGGCTCCTGGCATTCATGTGAGAGACCTGAAGAAGCTCCTGGCTCTTGGCTTCAGCCTAGCCCAGCCCTGGCCATTGTGGCCATATGAGGAATGAACCAGAAGATGAAGACCTCTCTAACTCTGGCTTTCAAATCAACAGATCTTTAAAAAACTTTTTTCTAAGAGAAAAACCCTACATCTCATTTAATATGGTCCCCAAAAGACTAAACAGCAGCAATCTTCCAGGTAAGATGACATTTATAGAACAAAAATATATTACAGGGACTGACACTGTGGTGTAAGCAGGTAAAGCCACCGCCTGCACCACTGAAATCCCATATGAATGCCGAATTGAGTCCTGGCTGCTCCACTTCCGATCCAGCTCTCTGCTATGGCCTGAGAAAGCAGAAGATGGAGGCCGGCGCTGTGGTGCAGCAGGTTAATGCCCTGGCCTGAATCGCCGGCATCCCATACGGGTGCTGGTTCTAGTCCTGGCTGCTCCTCTTCCCATCCAGCTCTCTGCTGTGGCCTGGGATAGCAGAATGGGCCCCTGCACCCACGTGGGAGACCTGGAAGAAGCTCCTGGCTCCTGGCTTTGGATTGGTGCAGCTCCAACTGTGGTGGTCATCTGGGGAGTGAACCAGAAGATGGAAGACCTCTCTAACTCTGCCTGTCAAATAAATGAAATAAATCTTAAAAAAAAAAAAAGAAAGCAGAAGATGGCCCAAGTCTTTAGGCCCCTGCACCTGCACAGGAGACCTGAAAGAAGCTCCTGGCTCCTGGCTCTGGATAGGCACAGCTCCAGCCATTGCGGCATCGGGGGAGTGAACCAGCAGATGGAAGACCTCTCTCTGCCTCTGCCTCTCTGTAACTCTGCTTTTCAAATAAATCTTAAAAAAAGTTCTGAAAGAAAAAAAAATTGCCAGCCAAGTACTATACCCAAAGTTATGCATCATAAACACAGAAATGAAAATTTCCCAAGAAAAACCAAAGAGGAAATTCATCACCACCAGAGCAGCCTTACGAAAGTGTTAAAGGGAATCCCCCACAGAAATAGCTACCACCATGAAACATGAGGAAGCAGACGGCCCAGTGGAACAGCAGACAGGCAAGAGGACCAAACCACAGCAACAGCACACTGCTCATCCACAAAGAAACAGAAGAACAGACCAAAGGAACAAACAGGAGTTTTTAAAAATAACAAGACTGTCCTTACTGATCAATCATAACCTTGACTGTAACTGTACTAAATTCCTCACAGACTGGCTGAATGGATTGAAAAAAAAAAAAAAAAAAAAAAAAAAAAAAAAAAACCAAGACCCTACCATATGCTGCCTATAAGAAGAAAATCAGTAAAGAGACAGA